TTTTTTTTTTTTTTGAGCGAGACAGAGTGTGAGTGGGAGAGGGGCAGAGAGAGGCACAGAGTCTGGAGCAGGCTCTAGGCTCTGAGCTGTCTGCCCAGAGCCCGACATGGGGCTCAAACCCGCGAACTGTGAGATCACGACCTGAGCCAAGGTCAGATGCTTAACCGACTGAGCCGCCCAGGCGCCCCAAGGGGTGGGTTTCCTTCATTGTCATGGTTCTACAGTTGCCCCTGCCAGCTTCCGGGCTGCCTCTGATGAGCCTAGTATCTTGTAGGAAAAACAGGTGACATTCATCAAAGAGAACCTTCGAGAGCCCTGGAGGTGGCTAGAGCGGTCTCACCGCCGAATGCTCCTTCCTTTCTCTGCCCACCCCCCTGTTGTTTTGTTTGGCAAATGAGCCAACAGCTAGTGCTGTGGGCTCACACCAGCCCCAAGGGCTTTACAAGTCCTGAGTCCTGCAACACTTTGGAGCACTCGTTATCTCCATTTTATATACGAGGAAACTAAGGCACAGAGAAGTGACGTGACCTGTCCAAGGTCACACAGCTAGTACGTTGGTGGAGCCAGGTTAAATCTAAGCCCAGAGAAAAGACATAAGGATAAGGTCACCTGCCCACTGGGCCACCTTCTCCCCACTGTAGTTAGGCTTTGGATGAAAATAAATCAAAACATTGTGCTCTCCCAAAACAAAGGGAAATGACATCTCCAGTGAAGAGAGACAATTCGTCGTTAGCAGGCTTGCTCTATGAGGAATACTCCAGGGGGCTCTGCAAGCTGAAATAAAAGTACACTAGATGGTAACTTGAATGCACACAAAGAACACCAACAAGGGTAACTACATAGGTATTATGAAAGTATAAACATTTTCATTTGTAATGCTTTTCTTTTTTTTTTTTTTTTTGCCATTAAAAGGCAACTGCATAGAGGAGCCTGGCTTAGTCAGTAGACCATCCAGCTCTTGACCTCAGGGTCATGAGTTTGAGCCCCACGTTGGGTGTAGAGATTGCTTAAAAATAAAATTTCAGGGGCACCTGGCTGGCTCAGTCAGGAGAGCTCGCGGTTGTGAGTTCAAGCTCCACTTTGGGCGTGGAGCCTACTTTAAAATAAAATCAAATCTCAAACCTATTATTTAAAAATAAATAAATAAAAGGCAACGGCATAAAGCAATAATTACAAAACTGTGTTGGCAGGCTTGTAAGGCGTAGAGGTGAGATTTCTATGACAATAATAGTACAAAGGTGTGGGAAGAAATGGAGCTGTACTGAAGCAAAGTTTTTGTACGCTACTAAAATTAACTCAGGATTTATCCAAACTATATTATTACTATTTTTTAATGTTTATTTTTGAGAGAGAGACAGAGCGTGAGCAGGGGGAAGGACAGAGAGGGAGACGCAGAATCCAAAGCAGGCTCCAGGCTCTGAGCTGTCAGCACAGAGCCTGACGCAGAACCTGAACCCAGAAACCTGTGAGATTGTGACCTGAGCCAAAGTCAGACCCTTAACCTACTGAGCCACCCAGGCACCCCCCAAACTGTATTATTTATTTTATTTTTAAAGTTTATTATTATTATTATTTTGGTACTAGAAAATATCTAAACAAAATAAGGCAGGAATCGAGAAATAGAAGAGAACAACAAAGAACCCCATAAGACATGGGAAAAAAATAGCAAAATGGCAGATATAAATTCTACCTTCTCAGTAATTACATTGGAT